CCTCCCACACCACATATTCTAACCAAAAAAAAACCCCCCCATTTAACCTCTATTTCTAGCCCACTCTTTCTCCCAGCCCTACCCTTCCCACTCTCCTTCGCACTCTTTCTTTCTGTGTGAATTATATTATTTCTTCTTTTTCTTGGTTTCCATTTACCCCCCTCCTCCACTACTGCACAGCTCACAACTTTTCTGGTTTGGTCAGCGAGTTAGTTTTTTATATGTCGGAGGTCATAAATCACAGACTGGGAATGCAGGCTAACAAAAAAACAGAGAGAGGGCAGGCAGCCTTCGGTTTAGTGGGTGTGGCCCTGTTAATGCGGATCTGTGACATATGGTCGTGTTCGGGTTTGGGGGGTTTGAGTGGGGTTTCGTTTTATGATTTTCTCAATTGAATATGGGGGTATGAGGTCTGCCGCGTTTTATCACAAAACTCTTAAGGGCACAGAATGATAAATATATTCGATATGTGCTTATCGGGGGAACTAATCCAAGTGCTTAAAAATACTTTAGGCAAGGATATAATGTAATTCATTTAATTAAAAATAAATCAGAGAGGATCTCACACTCCCATTTCTAATGTAGAGGATTAAAAAATATAAAAAATAAAAATTGGAGAATAAATTATTTTGCCGAAAAAAAATTGTAATATTATTTATTTTCTGATTTCTGTGGTTTTTAATCAGTTTTCAGGTATTTCAGAAACAAAAAGAGAGCCGAGCCGACCAAATTTCGTTCACTCTTTCACCGCTAGCCAGCGTTGAGACTCCTAGCTCTGCCTCTCCTATATATACATCTTCCATTGTATATCCATTAAATCCCTTTGACATGCTCAAAATTCAACGCACTTAAAATTATCACACTCCACAAAAACCACATTTGCCAGAACCGCGTGTTACATGCGTGTCTCTCTCCCCACTTTGAACTTAATTCTTGAGCCATTTGTAACTGGCATTTCTGTAGGTGAAATCTTAATTTACGCCCACAGAGTTGGCTGCGTTTCGTTGGCCGCAAAAACCGCACAAAACTTGACACAGGACTTTCTGACAACACAAAACCAAAGCCGCCACAAACATTTTACAGCTTAAAGCCACCGTCGTGTTACCATCTCTTTTGCACTCACAATTGTTACCTTAGTCTCTGTTTCACTCACTCAATATCGAATTAAATGTTACTACGCCCATCGCTGGGTTCTATCCTTTTGCACCTGAACAATCTGAAATGGAAACCACAAGAAAGGAGCCCGTCTCGCTACGGTTGATGCTTTCCATACCCTACCCTCTCTTATGCCAAACACCCCTTTGGTTTAACTCCTCTCTGCCTCTCTTCAGTAACACCCCCTTGAGCGTACTCTTCCCCTCCTCTCGGCACCCCGTTCCCACACTCATCATCATCAGCCCTGTTACTATCGCCGACCGCAAGCGCTAATAAATTATGACCCTAGCGCTTAACCTTGTCCCGCTCTAGTGCCCCATGCCCCAACCCTCCATATACCCCTTTAAATTTCCTACCCCTCGCTCATTCACTCTCTCTGCTTCACACTTCTCACCTTTATCAGCAGGCTGCAGGGGCACCCAGAAACCATAAAACCGCAACACCCACAACAACAAAGAGAATCCAGTAGGGACTAGAACCAGAACCACCAATAGGTACTACGGGGTGCTACGAGTATATTTCGTGGCAGGTGGGTTGGCGGGGGGTTTCATACACCACAGGGCCGCCAAGAACTGCCCGCTAACGGAATTTAGTGCCAAAAAAGAGAAAACAATTTTTTTTTAGCCCAGCCCAAGCATTAGCCCAGAAATACTTTTGCCCGAAACGAAAAGGAAAATTTTTGGTTGTACTTTTTTTTCCATTTGTTTTGGTTTTGTTTTTGTTATTTACGACTTTCTGGTTCAGAGGTCAACCATCGCACTTAAAAGTGTCATTTTGCATTTTGTTTGGTTAAAAGAAAGGCACAGCGAAAGAGCAAAAAAGAAAGAGAAATAGTTCGAAAAAGAAAAAAACAACCAAGCAACAGAAATGTTCGACCAAGTCTAAGGATATGGATGAGGTGGTCCTTTATGGCCAACACAAAACTGGGTTACATTTTAAAAAAAAAAAATTTGTGGGGGGGAGATTAAGAAAAAAAAAAAAAAAAAAAAAAAAAAAAAGGGGGGGGGGGGGGGGGGGGGGGGGGGACCCCCCCCTATAAAAAAAAAAAAAAAAAAAAATTTAAAATTTTTTTTTTTTTTTTTTTTAAAAAAAAAAAAAAAAAAAAAATTTTTTTTTTTTTTTTTTTTTTAAAAAAAAAAAAAAAAAAAAAAAAAAAAAATTTTAAAAAAAAAAAAAAATTGGTTTTTTTTTTTTTTTTTTTTTTTTCCCCCCCCGGGGGGGGGTGGGGGGGCCCGGAACGGGGGGGGGGGGGGGGAGAGAAGGAAAATGAGTTGTGTGTGGGCCATCTAATTATGCGAAATGTTGTTAGCAGGAAGTTTTGGTAGTTTCAAATAGAAAGACGAACAAAGGAAAGACGAAGACGGGTAGCAGACATGGCATTGCTCGATGCTATAGATTTTTATGGGGCGAAATTCGCCTACACACAAAAAGCGCAAAAGGCAACAACAACAACAAAAGTTGTCCAACGGAAACAGAGAAAGCGCATGTAAGCATATTGATGCACAAAATGATGAACGAGTGGAATACCCTGTGGTATTTAATGTGCAAAAAAAATTGTATGCAAATATTATAATTATATTTATATATATTTATATTTATTATATTTATATAATTATATTCAAAATAAATAAAATAAAATCGCGCACATATCTGGTTAAATTAAAAAAATTAATTTCCCTAATGCAATTACTCCTCGATTATTTTTAATAATCATGAAAATGTTACACATTGATTAGTCCATCAAATCAGAGCAGTTATCAAAACTTATACATATCCATCGAACTGATTAACAAATCTAGTAATTAAACGCAATTAAACTTTTTTTAAATCATTTACTAATGTCTTATATCCCCAAATGACCTCTCCCCAACGGATGCTACCAAAAGAATATCAAAGGAATATTCCGTTTGGCTTTTATTTTCGCTTTTTTTTTTTTGTGGGTCACTGTGTGGGCGTGCCACCCGCCTACTTTTCGCTTTTGCGCTGACATAAATAATAACTTCGAAATGCAATTTGTGTCGATGCTGTGTTTGTGACTGCCAGAAGAGGCGGCTTCGACTTCCAAGTGACAAACAGAAGGCAGGGGCAGGGACAGGGCAAATAGCTACCAACAAAAATAGAAGTAACATAAACATTCTCACATGGTCCATACATGAGCACTTAAGCTAGTCAAAAGAAATGAATGGAAAGGGACAGCATAGATGCGGAATAAGCTTTGATTACAGTTGAAATTCGCCAGTAGAGCAGCAGCCAAGCCAAGCCAAGGCACGGCAGATCAAATGGTTCCAGCTGGAGCAAGTCGCACTGACTTTCCCGCTTGTCATAAATCATCAGCACAACGCGCCACTTAAGTGCTTCTAAAACTGTTTTGCTGTCGCTGCTGCTGCTGCTGCTCCTCCTCCTGCTGCTATGCTTTTTCCGTTCCACCCAATCCAGACCAGACCAGGCAGGCACGCCTCCATTTTAGGACACACAAAACTGGCCACTGTCCAGATCTCCACATTCACGCCCACTTTTACAAAAATAAGGATGAACCTGTCAGCTGCAGTCGGAGAGGAAAATGCGGAGGATGAGGATAGGATAGGATACGATAGAAAAGCTAAATAGACAGTTGGATATAGAATAACAATGACAGAAAATACACAAAACCGAATGAATGAATGAATGAATGTTTGTGGGGAAATATGTATATCCATGGACAATGAATGCCGAGGAGGGTCGAGACTAGAATGGCAATTGGAAATGGAAAAGATTAGAAGTGGAAAATGCCGTTATGAATGAGAGAGAGAAAAGAGCACATCAATAAAAATAAACTTGACTGCAGTTGAGAGGCTTTCAGACAGCACAAAATACAAAAATAAAGATGAGAGACAGGACAGCAAAGAAATGAATAGAACGGAACCAGAACAATGAATATATATTGGAATAATGAAAAGGGAATCCAAATCGGTAAGAGAACGAGATAAAGAGGAGTCTGATCTGGCTGCACAGATTTGTATTGAGAATGCGGGTACGATGGGCAAACCGGACAGAGCATCCAAGAAGAAGATTATTTTGTGTAATTCATTTCTATTTCTCTGTGGCTTGGAAAACATAAATTCAGCTAAGCGAAAGACAGTTAATTTAAAATTTCAATAATTCCTTTAAATATTAGTTATGCAAGCTCAAACATTTATGCAATATTTTTTTTTTATTAAATTTAAAAGTCTGTATTTGTATTGTTGTATTTTTGGCACCCTTCCATTAGCAAAGCTTCAGAGGAGAACAAGCTCAAGGCGATTGAAATTTTCAAGTCAAACACAAATAGCGGAACAAAAAGCAATTTGCTGATGAAATGAAATGGTAAATGCAAAGGAATGCAATTAAGAGGGAGAAACTAGAAAGAGCAAACACACAAATATGTATGTGTGTGTGTGTGTATGTGTGTTGTGTCTGGGCAAAGCATATCTCATATTAATTCTGTGTGTTGCCTGTGTGTCTCTGCGCTCTCTCATTTACATGAAAGGGCGAAGCTTTAGTAAGAGCTTTCGGGGTATTTACCGCAACAAATTCGAATGTAATTTATCAGACAGACACACAGCACAGAACACACGCCAGAGACTCGCACACGCATGCACAAGCTAAACAAAAGAGTGAAGGAAGTAGAGTGAAGGGCAGGAGAGGGCGAAAGAGAGAGAGAGAGTCCGACTCCCCCGCTCACCAAGTGAGTCTTTGTGCATGACTGTCCTCCGCTGTGTAGTACAGTAATAATGGTAGGTTTTATGCAAATACAACCAAAATTTATACAAATCTATTTGGACTGGGGGGTTCAAAAAAAAAAAAAAAAACTACCGACTACGACTTACCCTTGCTAATGCCGGTGGCCTTGTCGCGCAGAACATTGATCGAGTGCACCGGTCCATACTCCTCGAACATCTCACGCAATTGCGACTCATCCATGGATTTGGGTATTTGGCCCACAAACATCTTGATGTTGTCTGGATCGGGCTCCTTGTCGCTGTAGGTGACGGTGGCATCGGCATCCAGGCGGAAGCACGAATCATCGTCCATGCTCACAACGACATTCCGATTGGCGCTGCACGGATTATTGTTGTTGTTGACGAGACCTGCCGTAGACATAATACCGTTGTTGCCAATGCCCCCCACCAGCGAATTGTTGCTGCTACCCAGGCTCTGATTGTTGTTGCCGTTCACACCGTTATTGTTGTTGAGCAGAGATGGATTATTGTTGTTGCTGTGAATGGGACTGTTGGGCAGGCTATTCGTAGCACTGCTACTCTTATCGCTCATACCAAATGCACTGCGGAAGAGTAAGGAGAGAGAGAGAGAATGGAAGAGAGAAGATAGGGTTAGTACAGTGTTCATTTGGTAAAAGATAAATATATGTTGGTTTTAATAAGTTAATACGAAATGTTTTGAGAGTTTTGTGTGGAAAGAAATAAAACAAATGTTTTTTTTTTTATTCTTTCCCAATGAGTTACCACTGTTATTTAAACCATTTACAGATTTGGCTCACCCCCGGTAAATGATAAATATATGTTAGTTTTTATAAGTTTTGTGTGGAAATAAATAAAATAAATGTTTTTTTTTGTATTCCCCAATGAGTTACCACTGTAACTAAACCATTTACAGTTTTGTCTCACACCCACATACTTACTCCAAATAGAGATCATTAGCACTTTTTTCCGAAAAATCAAATATCATACGGCGATTGGCCAGAAACGAAGCGCGGCTGCTGAACATATTTGCGATCTCAAAAATTGTACACTGTCGACTCGGTAGGACAACAAAAAAGATTGTATATATATATATATAATAGTTAGGATATAACGGCAAATAACCACGTTCAATCAATACTTTTGACGCACACGGACAATCGAATTCGGTTTTGGTTTTTGTTTGTTTTTAAATAAAATGAATTGCAATCGCCTAAAAGAGGATTTCCATTTAACACTGCGACACTCGAAACTCAAACGTGACTAATTAAAAAAAGACTATATATTCAATATATAATCGGGGGGGTACACGCACGCGCAGCGCCTTCAACTAAACGGTTCTTCTACTTCCTTCACTGGCAATCGTCGATGGACAAATGGACGAGCAACGCCATTTGGGTTAAGTTCAAGGGTAAATGGAATTCCAGTGGATTCCAGGCCTTCCAACAGAGAGGGATCAGGTGATGCTGAAAAACTCATGTAATGGAAGAAAGCAGAAAGCATACGAAGAGAGACAGCAGCAACTTCGCTGCAAAGCTAGAACCGGGATCTCTACCGACTGCGTTCAAAGCTTTTGAACAGCAAGAGAGGATCCAACTCAACAAGCCATAGCTTAGTCAAAGCAAAGAACAGAGACAGGCGCTCTGCAAGCGTCACTTTAAGCTCATGTAAGGCAGCGCAGCAAAATCAATTCTAGGCAGCGCAGCGAGAGAGGAGCAATATCAGGCACACAACCAAGCGTCAGCTCTCCTGACAGCCGCTGGAGCCACTGCGACAGCGAGAAAGAGATGGAAGTTAAATGCAAAGCACAAACGGCAAAAGTCAAAGCAGAGGACTAGAGAGCAAAGCGGGTGGGATGATCGACTGGAAAGTCGACAGCTTAGACAAAATAACGGATTATAATAAACAAAACTGAGCAAGAACATAAGGTGTGGTGCGCATATGTACATACATTAAGTTTACCTACTGAGTAAAACAATTATACTCTGGATAAGCAATTAATTTTCAAGAGATTAAACTTTTCTTTACATTAAAAACCTTTTGCCATCTGCTCCTTAAACCATTTCTAAGCCACTTACGTATGCAAATGACTTTTTACCGTCCGTCGATTTTTTCAAGTCAACCTACATTTTCTTCTAATTACGACCGAAAAAAAGCAAACGTTTCCATTATCCATTTGTCTACTTAGTACGCGGTGTTCCGGCTAAGGTGCCTCTGAAACACGCCCTGTTATCCAATCCTTCTTAGCTAATTCATTTCACTCACACACAGGCGGGCATACCACCCACAAAGACCCTGCCGGCCAACATTTAATCAAGAGTTAGTGGGTCCTTGTCCAGGTGGGTTTGCTCATCGCGTTTTAGTTGACCCAATTTGGCCTTGGCTCTGGACGAATGCTAAAATCGTTTATTTACACAAGCAAATGGCCATTAGGTTAATGCTATTTGAGGATTACTCAGCCAGAAAATCGCCAAACCAAACAAGAAAAGTTCACTCAAGTCGAAATCGAAGTTGTTTTAAGGTTTTTTTTTTTTTGGTTTTACTCTAAAGTCCATTTTGAGGATAGAGCATAGAAAGTAAATCAAGGCACATCACATTACACATAATTAAGGTTTAGTTTGGTTTGTGTTTGAAGTCTTTGTCACGGTGCCTAATGCTCTAATTGCAGCGCTGCCAACGCACTTGCACTGCTCTGCTCTTCATTCCAAGCGCTCTCTTCCACACTCGTCGTCGCTTTTTCTCTCATTCTCATCTCCTGCGCTTGAGTGTTTCACGGCGGCGGCTGTTGCTTCATATTCTATTCATACCCTTTACTAGTGAAACTCAAGGGTATATTAGTTTTGAAACACTTTACGTAACAGGCAAAAGAAAATCAATAATAAGCACAAAGCACTTTGTTTTGTAATGAATATACAAAGAAATATAGTTTTTATTTAAATATTTTAGTGACATTTTTAAGAGGTATCTTATATGTCGTTATGTCGCATAAAGCTTTCTCACTTGTTTGCCTTTTAATTTCTTGCAAGTTTCACTTTTATTTGGCAAATTCTTGTCTGCCAATCCTGCCCCCTCTCCACCCTTTGCGCCTTCTTTGTTGCATTTTGTAATTTGAACTTCGTCTTTACTTTTCATTTGCTTCTTTGTTTGCCAGACGGGAAAAACTTTTCAACAGCTCTCTCTCTCTCTCTGTCTCTCTCTCTCTCTGCCCACATCCTCTTCCTCTTAACCCTTTCCTAGCTATTTTGGCTTGACTTTAATTTAGTTAAAGTTCGAAAGTCACTGGGAAGGAGTAGGGGAGACAACAAAAGTTCGGGGGGTAGCCAAGGGGAAACACTGTAATTGCAACGATCCTTTGACACAATTATTGCATTTCTTGTGCATCCCCCAATACGTGGGTTAGGATAGGATAGGATATGAGCCAAGTTCCGCTTAGGATCCAATAAAACATGCAATTGCGACAAATTTCATACAAAAACTTTTGTTAGCCGAAAAACAAAACTTTTCCACACACACACAAGGCAACAACAAACTCCTCGGAAACGAGTAAAACGAACTGAACTTTTGTGCTAGTATCAAAGTTCAAACTGCAATTCATCTTCATCAACAAAAAGAAGTATATGCAATGTTCGCAAGAAAAATAAGGAAAAATCAGTTATAGTTCTGCCGCCTCCTCATCATATATGTATTTATGTAGATATAACTATTGATCCTTGAAAAATAACTGCTATCAGTGATTTTATCAAAAGAGAGCGCTATATCTTTAAAGTTCGTAAAGTAAATTTGGTTGCCTTCTCTCCTTTACATAGACATACAGTAAAAAAATAAACCCTTGAGCGCAGTGGGCTGAGAGCGAAGTTCCGTCTACTTCGCCAGCTATCGACATAACAAGAATATTGCATTTATTTGTCCAAAGCACAGCCACACGGAAATCCACCCAAAAGGCAAGATTTCACTTTAAATTTTAAAGCAAAACTTTCAGACTTCGTGCCACCTTCTCTGGCACTCTTTTTTGGCATTTATCTTCATTTGTCGGAGCAACAGCAGCAGCAGAAGGAGCTGGCAGGGTGCAGAGCAGCAGCAGCAGCTGTCAACAATTTGCCGACCACAAAATTGTCGAGGGAGCCACCGAAGGAGTGTCGGAATTTGGTACTGGGATTTCGCCAGAATTCAGCATCGTTTCTCCCGAGAAACTTACTAATTTGCTTGATTACTCCAGAGAATTATGGTGGGGGCGGGGGTTAGCATAGGGCACACGGCAAACGGCACACAAGGCGGCAGAAAATTTGAAATCTATTATAAAAGTTTTTTACCCCCAAAATGAAGGCACACTGGGGACAGCTAAGAGAGAAGGTTGCGGCATGAGGGTGGGGGCTGAAATTCGTCTTTGACGGCGTCGACATGGGTCAACACTTTGACAGAGACAAGGAAACAGTAAAAACAAAAAAAAACAAAAAAAACTTATCCAATAAAGGAGCAAAGAGCGCTCCAAAAATGGGAAAATTGAGAAAGAGAGAGCAAAAAGTAGTGTATGTAACAGCTGTGTAATATAGAAGCTGCAACAATTCTTTGAACAACTTTTTTTCAGCTGTCTCTTCATTTTGTCTTTATCTCTAGTTTTTCCAGGTGAGACGGGATAATTTTGTTCATGTCTAGCGTCTGCTACGCTGCACAACAAATCAAGTTCCAAGTGGATCTCTGCAACTTTTGTTACTTGTTATTTTCTTTTGTGTCACCTATCCCCACCCCACCAACCCCTCCACAATCCTCATTCTCCGCTTTGTTCTGTTTGATTGGGTTGTTGGGATGCTCCTTGATGTTCGGCGATTTGTTAGTGCGGTGTCCTAGAGATTGAAAATCAATGGGCAAAGTAACACAAGTGGGAGCTTGTAAAAGAGCTTTAACCTTGTAATTTCTAAAGTGCTGCAGCTGCTATGAAGGACTATTGAGAAGGGGAGGGAGGGAGGCAGCAGGCAGCAAGCAAGGTTCAAGGTTTGGTGGAGGAAAGTTTTTTGGATTGAATTGGTTGGATTTTATATGTTCATGATCATCGTCGACTCTCGCATTCAATTCAAACATTGATAAAGTGGTTGAAAATTTTCCATACCAAAAATTAAAGTAAATTTTAAAAATTTATAAAATTTCTGTAATTCCGAAACCGTCTCTTGCAATTTCTTATCCTATTCCATTCATTATCCCTCATCATCTGCCCAACTATTAAATCATATTTCCCCATACCTTTGCACTCCGCTCCTGGAGGCTTTCTAAGCAGCTTAACCTCTTGAAGCTTTGCTTTGATCTCTCTCTTAATGCGAACGACCCACAAGTTCGAGAGAGCAAAAAGCTTCGTCGCCGCCTATAAATTACTCAACTTCAGCAGACAGAAAAAGGGAGGGCAGAGAAAGGCAACGGCATTTCGGCACGCTTATCAAAGATAATTTTAAGCCGCATTTAAAAATGATTTCTTTGCTTTATTTTCTGCCGACATTCACTGCCCCCTCTCCCCCTCTCCCACTCTTTATCTTTCTCTGTCTCGGTCTTTCAACCATTCGTTACACCTCCTCACGTTTTTGTTGAGCTACGCGAC